TGAGGCCAATGCTGGTTTGTGGACCAGCAAGCAGAAGCAGGCTGGGGAGAGGATAAATACTGTCCTCCGCCTGCCTCCCCCCGAGTCCCCCGTGGAGCAGGTTCACACGGATGGTTTGCCCACAGAGCCCCAACACTGACAACAGTCCTTTTGCCTGGCCTGGCAGCAACAGGACAGGAAGTCTGAAGGCGACATAGCCCTCCTGCCTCTGTGCAGGGAGAGAGGCTCAGCACAGAGGATGGAAGTGTGAGACTATGTGCGGCGTCCTCCACTGACAGAAGGGGCACTCAGGCCCGGAACCAGTGTCTCCTTCACCCCACTGCCTTGTGGCCCCCACCTTATCTCTGTAGGCTTCAGGGACTCGTGGAGACGGAGCAGAGGGACGACTTCCCCGTCTCCAAGGAAAGGTGAACAGCAGAGAACCACAGGGAGCATCTTGGAGGGAACAGAAATCCTCTCCACAGAGGACTTCTCTGCAGGCCAGCCTTCCCTCCTAGAGGTTCCATGCCCCAGCTGACTGCCCCGCCCCCTCTGCTGATCTGTTTAACCCAGAGACTCTGCGAGTGCTCCTGCGCTTTGATCCGGCAAGCTCCGGCAGCGTCTGTTCCATTATTCACCGCAGGGAGGACACCTCGTCATTACAGACCAGGCGGGCTGCCCTTGCCTCCCCAGGGCCGCGGGTCGTGGCCATCAATAAGTCAGCAGCAGCGGCTGGATCTGAGACGCCTTTTGTGGAAGGGATTTGCACCGTTTCAGAATCGGAGTTTTCTACAAGCCTCCCTTTGGAAGAGATCAGGAGAGGAAACAATGAACACGGAGATTACAGAAGCACCTGTACAGAGACGAAGTCACACGTCCTCCCTCCCCATGCGCTCAGCTTTTGAAGTAAGAGTCTGATACGCAGTCCTGCGTCGCTGGATGACGAGGACACAACGTGAGCAACGCATCACACGCTGATTTCGTCACTGTCCAAATCACAGCGCGTCTTACACACACCCAGGTGGGACAGGGCACCACCCAGCGCAGCCTCTGGATGTGGTCAGGGGACATGGTCACCGGGGTGAGGAGGCGCGCCTCTGGGCACGCCACTTCGTGCTGAACTCTTTTTTCCCCTTTAATAAGCAGGAGGAGTTCTCCACAATAACAACAAAGAATAAGGCTCAGCAGATACATGAGCAGGTAAACTAGTCATTGATGCTCATTATGAAGCCCCCACTCCCCGTTAGGGAGCGTGTGCTGAGCTCATTTCACCAGCGTACTTTCACACCAGCGACCCTGAGCCGTTGCAGGCAGGGGCTGGTTTCGGGGAAAATAGGTTTGAGGTTGACACAGAAGAAGCTGCAGGCTAAGCGCTGGCATACACGGTCCACAGTACGGTTTGAGCTCCTAGAAAATCCAGTGCTGCCTCTGATCTGACCACGGGGCTCAGCGGGGAGCGCCGGAAACTGAGGCAGTGCTGCTTGCTGCCCGCGGCGCTCCGGCTGTGAGGCCCAGTTCCTACCTAGGCCGAGCCTGGACCAGCCTGCGGCCCCGGGCTGGGCCCTCTGCTTTCCAAGCAGCAGGGCGGCGGTGGTGGACACCAGCGCCCCCACAAACAGCCAGGACAGGGCGCTATGACGCTGCAACTTCCCAGCTCTGCTATAACCTCACAGGTGATTTCGCGGGCCTGAGTGTACGCATGTGCCCCTCACGCTCAGTTTTTCTCCCACATAGCGTTCAGGGTGCGCATGTGTGTGACACACGCTCGCTCCCACACACTCCGCAGGACACCAGCTCTGGACAAGCGCTTTGCTCAAGGCCGCACCCCAGCATTTACCCCAGGCCTTGGGAAATGCGTGCGATAGACAAAGAAACGGCTCTCACGGGAGCCTGCGTCACGCCCCAGCTGGGTCACCCTCTCTCTGGGTCTCCATATGCCTTTCGTGTGACCAGGGCGAATCTCTCCAGAGAGTGCGACCGTGCGCCACCCCACTGAGTTCACCCCAGCCTTCCAGACCCGGCCCTGGAAGACTCGGGTGCACGGGAGTGACCTGCGCAGCCCTCGGCCAGGGCAGGAGGCGAGCACGACGCTCAGGACTCGGTCTGACACCCCAAGGACAAGAAACACAGCCCAAAGGACATTGGGCATCCAGAGCGGGGCGGGGCCACGAACCAGGAGACCTCGCCGACTCAGCCTCACCCAGCGAGTGTAGACGAGTCATTCCCAGCCCCTAGGGGGCGCTCTCCTGCCTCGGCCTGCAGAGCGGGTTAGGCCGGGTTAAGAGCGGGTTAGGCTGGGTTGGGGCTGGGTCGGACCGGGTCGGGCCCGGCTGGAGCCGAGTCAGACCAGGTTAGCTCGGGTTAAGGGCGGGTGAGGCCGGGTTATGCCGGGTTGGGCCGGGTCTGGCCGGGTTAGGGTTGCTGAGGCCAGGTCGGGGGAGCTGCTGCGTGCGCCCGCTCAGAGGAGGTGCGGCGCGGCGGGAGGGGCGGGGGTCCCGGCTCCGCGTCCGCCCAACTCTCACTCCACAGCCTGGGCCCTGGCCTCGCGCGGCGGGCCGCCCACAGCCGGCGATCCGCTCGCTCAGAGCCCACGCGCGGCCGGGACGGGCGGTGGAGGCACTTGCCGCGGCGCCGAGTGTCCACCAGAGGGCAGCCGCGGGCCGCGCAGCCAGGAGCTCCCGACCTCGCAGGCTCTCAGCCGCGCCTGCGCAGACCCGAGGCCGCCTGCCCGCGCTTCCGGCTCCCAGCAGCGTTGAGCTACGGCACTCGGCGAGCCAGGGGCGGTTCGGGTCCCGGACCTCCCGGCTTGGCCGCCTTCCTCTCAGGCGACGCGATGTGGGGCCGTGAGAGCCAGGTGTGATGGCGCAAACCTGTGATCGCAGTAGTCAGGAGGCTGAGGCAGGAGCATCGCCAAAGGTGCAGGGTCAGCCGGGGCTGCATAGTGAGACCCTGTCTCAAAAAAACAAAACAGAAATCAGCCTGCATCTCACCACCTCTCCCACCCGATGGCCCAAAGTCCACCCATTGGCCAGCCTCCCTCCTCTGTCCTGCTGTGGTCTGAGCAAAGTGGTCACCACAGTTTTTCCAGTGCTGCGCATTGAACCCAGGGACTTAACACTGAGCTACACTCCCAGCCCCTATCCCCTCTTGAGAGTCAGGCTCTCCCTAAGTTGCTAAGTTGCCCAGGCTGGATTCCAATTTGAGATCCTCCCGCCTCATCCTCCTAGAGTTTAGTGATTACAGGTAAGCACCACCACACCTGGGTCTGTCTTTACTCACAGGAATCGGCCTGATTGATGTGCTGGTCTCCCACCAACTCCGTGACTTTGGGCGATGCCCTTCTCCCTGTGTAACTCATCCCTGACTTGGTGGCCGTTGTGCCAAGGCGGAGCCCCGGAGAACGGGGCTGTGCAGTTTCCAGACAGCCCCGTGGCGGGCTGCAGACGGCAGGCTCTTACAGCTCCGACTGCCAGTCAGGGCGGGAAGGGTCTCAGGGATGCGCCAGGCTGGGAGAGGAGCCGGGAGCACAGTGCCCCAGGCCAGGAGTTGTCGCGCAGACCCTGCCGCAGGGGGTGGGGGCACGCTTGGTTCACAGGAACCCTGGCCTGTGGGTCCCCGGGAGCCTCACCTGCTACAGAAGGCCCGATTCTGTCCCGGCCTCTGCACCGTCAGCCCCACAGCTACCCTGGCCGTTTCGGGGCCCTGTCCTCTTTGGCAGTCGCACACAGGTTGGTGGCCTGGCAGAGCCCTGCTTGGCGGCAGTGGCGGCGAAACCGAGTCTCAGAACCAACGCCCGCTCTTCCCGCGCTCGGCAGAACGTTCTGAGGTCCGTTGCTCCTGCAGCTCAGAGAGTAACTTCCAGTTCGATGCTCTGCCACCTTCTGCAGACCAGGGGGCGCTTTCTAGTTTATTCTTGAAACCAAGTGCTCTGGGGTGGCAGGCCTGTGGCACAATGTTGCTTTTCTCTTAAGACAGAAGGTCTTGATGTAGGAGTTGTTTTGCGCTGAACACACCTCAGCGCTCAGGCGTGGTCGCAGTGCTGCGCTTTGCAAGGAACAAGCGGGTTTGGGCTGTGCCCTGGGCGCAGTTCTCAGCGGTTCTAAACGGTTCCCGTAACCGGGGCTGTGCTGAGATTGCACAGAGGGGCCCGCCTGCCCGCCGCAGCCAGAGTAGCGGCGCTTTTATTTTGTGTCTAGGTTCTGCTTTCGGAAAAGAAGACTGCTTTTACAAACGTTTCAAGTGAGGAGGACACGGTGTGGGGGCGGGGAGTACAGAGACTCTGTACTTTCTGCCTAATTTCCCACTGAACCCAAAGCTGCTCTACAAAATACAGTTTATGATTTAAAAAAAAAAAATGTTTTGAAATCTACAGCGCCAGAAGATTGTAGATCAGGGCCGCTGAAGATCTGTGAACAATTGTTAACAGCTCATCCTTGCCAAGCACTGCAGCCGGCGCTCCCAGCGAAGCGAAGCACAGAGTTTACAGCCTCCCTGCCTGCAGAGCCCGCGCCTGCCCTGGGCTGGGGAACGCGTGTCCTTGTTACCCGGCCTTTCTTCCCCGACAGCAGGGAATCTGATTTTTTAATAAATATAGTGAAGCACTGCAAGGATTTTTTTTTCAGAATTGGTAACATGTACCGAGAAAATTACGATGTGACTTCTCATTTGAAGGAAAGGAAGGGTTGATCATTTTGTATTTCTGTCTTTAAAAATGTTTTGTTTGCAGCTGCACGTTGGTTGACTGATCTTCTGCTTTTTTGTTAATCCTCCCTGCCGTGTCCGAGTCCTGGTCCCTGGCACCTGTGAATAAGTTACTATATTAGGGAAAAGGAGACTTATAATTGTGATTACTTTAAGAATCTCGAAATGAGGAAATCGTTCTGGATCACCCACAGGGGCGGGGTACAATGGTCGGGGAGGGTCGGGGGGAGGCAGGCGGGGACAGCGCAGAGCGCAGGGACAGAGCGTGAGGAAGACTCGTGGCCCTCAGAGGCTTCAGAAATGAAGATGGGGACCAGAGCCAGGGATGGGGTGGCTTCTGAAACCTGGGAAAGGCCCAGAGCCCGCCACACACACACCCGCCTTCAGCATGAACACAGCCTGTACTGGCTGCCCAGGGACACGCATGCGGACACCAGACCTGAACAGTTATCACTTGAGTTGTTCCCTGCCGCTAGGTTTGTGGTCATTCATGACAGCAGCAGGAGGGGACAAATCCCCCCCGCCCCTCCTAGGGAAGTACCCGGAGCAGTGATCAGGTTGGGGCAACTGGTGTAGCTGTCATCGCAAGATTTATGGTGTCTTTGTGGCAGGAAGGTTTAGCAGCCTCTCTGTTAGCTGTTTTGAAATACACTGTGGATTGTTGTCAGCCATGGTTACTCTTGTGCGCTGCAGAAATAAGAGTTCGTGCTTCTGTCCAGCAGCACCGCTGCACTCTACACATGCACACGCACACACACACACTCGCTCATGCACATGCACGCACACGCACGCACACATGCACACGCACACGCACGCCGCTGGTAGCTGCTCTGCTGTTTCCGGAGATCAGCTTGTTCCGCTCCCTCTGTGGGTGAGGTCAAGTCCCACTTGTCTTTCTGTGTCTGGCTCCTACTAAAGCCAGGGGCCTCCGTTTCCATCCAACAGGATTTCATCCTTTTTGTGGCCAAATAATATTCCACTGTGCCTCTACCCGGTGTTTTGCTTTACCAAGTGGTCTTCAGGAACACTTAGGTGAGCACCCCATCTTGACTGTGGTCAGTAGTAACAGTGAACGCAGGGCCGTGGGTGACTGCTTGATGTAAGGGTCTCATTTCCTTTGGATGAATACTGAGTATCATGATCATCGTATCACGCGGTGGCTCTTTTTCTAGCTTTTTGACAGATCTCCATCCTGTTCTCCTAATCACTGTGCTCATTTACATCCCACCTGGGTGGGGAAGAGCAAGGCCCGGTTCCTGTGCAGCCTGCCTATTCTCCTATCAGCGCAAAGGGGCCCAAGGAAGGCTTCATCCTTCTGCCTAGAGAAAGTCGTCTCTGGCTCCGGGGGGCTGGGGGCAGCAGACCTCCTGGGAGCCAGGCAAGACTGATGCTTTTATCACTAACAGGTGTCAATTGGCAAAAGACCAGCACCCCAGTTTCTCCTGACAGTCAGGCTCTCCTCACCCGGATATTCCACCATTGTATCTGGACAGCAAGTGGAGGATAGGGTGAGATGGCCGCGTAGTGCAGTCCTTCCAGGGTGCCAGGACCACGCGGTGGGGCTGGAGGCCCTCTGCGCAACCGGGCTCGCTCCTCTTCCCTTGGGAACAGGAGGCCAGGAAGCGGCCGCTCCTCCTCCTCCTCAGGACCCCTGACCAGCGGAGTTGGGCTCGGGGTGGACGGTCAGCCCTCGGTTCTGGTTCTGGTGTGGGGGGCAGCAAGGCTGGCGCCGGCTCCCGAGTTTGCACCCCGCTTGCATCCAGCCCTCCTAGGCCGGCGGGGCCCTGTGGCTAACCCAGAGTGACTCCGCATGACCAGGTGGAGATGCTTCCTCACTGTTACGATCCCTCTTCCTTTCCAGGGCTTCAGGACCGGGAGGCACAGGTCTGCGTTGCCATCTCATGTGACAGTCTTGTTAGGATACCCGTGGCCCCACTCAGAAACCACCGGTATCTGGAGGCGGAGACGGGTTCAAGTCCCAGGTCCCTGCGTCCCCGTGGGTGAGCGTGGCAGGTCCCCTCCCGAGACGGGTCCCGCTTTTCCTCTTGCAGAATGAGGATAACACCCAGCCTGCGAAACCTGAGGGAAGGTAAAAGTGACGTAGGTAAAGAATACGGGCAATTATAAGCACTCGACCGGTAGCTGTATTTATTTCTGCCCAAGAAAACTGAGAGGGGGCGTAGCAGCCGGTAGACTTGGAACTGAGATGTCTCCACAGCTCCCCCTGGCCGCAGGCCTGAGACGTCTCTCGGGGACTCTCCGATCGCCCCACCCGACCGCCCAGCTGTGCACATCTGGAGACCGCGCCTGGCCGGAGCTCCCCAGCCGCGTCTCCAGCAGGTCCCGTCCTGGCCGGATCTCCCGCGCAGAGGGCCTAGAGACCGCGTCTTCGTGGAGATGCTGCGGGCGCGCGATGCTTGGCAGCTGCGCACCCCGAAAGTGCAGCCTGGCTCTGCCGGCTGGGACCGCGGCGCGGAGGCGTCGGAGAGGGGCTGGCGTGCAGCCCGCGGCGGTTCAGACCCGGCCAAGGCGCCCGGTGCGGGCCCAGGCGACTCCGTCGGGTTGCGGGGCTCCCGGGACACCGCCCAGCACCGCGAGGGCCGGGCAGCTGCGTCCGACACCACCTCCACCCGGACTCAGCTCCTTGGCCGCAGGCTTGCAGGTGGGAACCCGGGAGGCGCTGGCGCGGGGAGGGACGAGGCAGTTTCCGCCTACACCGGAGAGGCTGCAGCAGGACGGGCGGGGTCCCCCAAGTGGGCTGAGTCTATAGCGGGGCCCCGCGCCTCCTCGAGTTAGGCCGCGCCATCCCCGAGGCCGAGGTCCTCCCTTCGGGCAGGAGGCCAAGAGTCCACGCCCTCATTCCGGGACGGGGCCCGTGCCTCTCCCAGAGTCCCGACAGCCGGCCTGCTGGCCACTGCCGGTGACCAAGAAGTGCTTCCCTGCGGCAGACGCTACCTGAATGGCCGCCTTCCGCGCCCTTGCCCTCCAGGGCGCCTCTCCACGTGCAGTCCCGCGCGGGCAGCAGGGGCGTCGGAAGCCGGTGGGCAATGCACATGCCCTGCTCCACCACCAGACAGCAGGAAGGAAGGAAAGACGGGAGGGAAGAGAGAAGGGGAGGAAGGAAGGGGGAGGAAGGAAGGGGAGAAGAAAGGGAGGCAAGAATGCGATGGGGCAGCTAGCGCTGTGTAAATTGGGGCCGCCGCCCTGCTTCAGAACCCGTCTTTGGGACGCTGTCTCTGGAAGACCCGGCTGTGAGCAGCAGTGCGAGGGTCGGGTCCGCGGGGTTCCTGTCACTATCTGTGCACACGCAGACCTTTGGATCCCGTAGAATACTGGAAAATAACTGCGTTTGGGATCTGAATAAGATCACACACTCACTGGACTCTTCTCCTAAGGGTGTCTACTGAAGCCCAGGCCTCGGCTGGGAGTGACGCCCTGGGTGTTCGCTGAGTCTTTTGAGCTAAAGGGAACCAGTGCAACCATCTTGTCTGGAGATGCATGAGGTGCCAGGCCGGCCCGCTCCGCTGCGTGCCTTCTTCCTGCCCCACAGAAGGCGGTGCCAGCTGCTTTGTGCACAGGTGTAGGGCTACCCTATCTCCCGGCTGCACTCCTCCCTGCTGGCGGAGCTGGTGTTTTACCAGCGGGCACCGGTGCAACTGTGGCCAGGGAGACATGGGAGACGCTTGTGAGGACTTAGAGGAGACTTTTCCCCCTTCTTTAAAGGGCACGAGAAGGCACATTTCCTTTATTTGCTTCTGGTTCATTGTCTGGACCTGCAGCAACCTCCCAGACTCTTCCAAGAAATCAGGCTAGAAGGACAAGCAAACTACTGAGGACGACAGGGGAGAGATTACAGAAGCTTGAGATCTTCATGACATTGCCACACCTTAAATTAATCAGCCTAGAGAGGAGGGGAAACCCGTGGGATTGTCTTTTTCAGTTAGACGAATTGTTTTTCTCATTTAAACTGGTTGAGTTGTTTTTCTACTTAGGTCACTTTTCGTGGGGTTTTCTTTGCAGCCACACCGCCCTCATGCACGCCATGCTCGAGCAGCGCTCTCCCTGGAACATGAGGAGGGTAGGTGAGTTATCAACAGAACATTTGTATTGCTGGCAGCACCATGCATGGCATTACTTTGTCCCCGTATGGGTCTCAGACATGCTCAGTATTTCGGTACTAGTGACTCAGCGACCCTCTTCTCATTGCCCAGTTTTGCACCTGTCCATCTGTCTTTCTGCCACCCAGCTGGTGCTCTCTGGACCGTCCAGTTCAGATTTCCAAGAATAAGGACGCTGTTTGGTCCAGCAAACGCAAGGCTTATGACAGTGAGGCGCTTCAGTGCCAGCCGCTCCCTGCTCCTGGCATGTTCTCCTGTCTGCCTAGTAAGCTGTGGTGAGGATGCAGACACAGATACTGCCAGCCACACTCAGCCTGCGGCCCTGCGGGCAGGGCAGTTCTCACTAGAAGGAGCAGTGGTCTTGGCAGGCCCAGAGACTGACCCACCCTCATGGCCTTCGTGGGGAGCCGTGGAATGGAATACTGAGACTGCAGGATGAACGCAAAGGCATTCCTTCCCTCCACAACCCACTCTGCTGTAGATCTGCCCACCCACCCCCAGCAAGGGGTGCTCAGCCCAGCTCTACTTGGGTGCTTCGATCTGCCCCAGCCACTCAGTCCACTACTCAGGAAGCGCCTCAGCCTGGGGCACCCCATGTGCAGCCACGCTGCTGCTGTACAAGCCCTGCATGCCGCAGAGTTCTCCACATTCATCGCGTGGGAGCCGTTTCCAGGGTTATTTGGTGTTCGAGACGCTTGAAGCCTGTGTGGTGCAGCACTGGGTCGGGGCTGGGAGCAGAACGCCTGCAAGGAGCGGGGTGGGCACTTCCTACAGCAAACTGGGAAGACAACCCGCTCGGAGGCGAGGGGCTCCGAGCCCAGCGTGTGCGGCGATGCCTTCAGGGCTCGGGTTGTTCTCACAGCGTGGAGGTCATTCCTGCCCTTTCGAGCACGCGGTCCAGGCAAGGAGGAGGTAAAACTGTCACTTGTGAGTTTCTGTCACTTGCCCCTCCATCATGTAATGAGTTCTGCAGCCTGGGCAGGCTGTTGGAACCTTGTATGCCTCCTTTTCTTCACAAGTGACATGTGTTTGATGATCCTTCTCTCCTGTCCTTGGAAAGTGTTGCCAAGGGCCTTCCATGTCCTAAGGCCCCTACAAACCTTTGGGCCCACATTAGCGCATTTGAAAGCTGTAATTCTAAGCTCTCCGAGAGAAGTGGGCCTTCTGATTATTTCAAGCGGATTATGGTCAGAGGCACCAGCCCCCACATCCAGCAGGTCCTGTGGTGTCACCCAGCCAACAAATGAGCATGGAAGTCCTGGTGGTCACAGAGCAGAAATAAGAAGAGGCCAGGACTGTCGGGGTGGAGCTTCCTTCACTCACTTGGGTATGAGCAGGGCGCGTGCGGAGGCCAGAGTCGCCTTCAGTGCTGAGCCTGGCGTCCTTTATGAGTTCATGCCGTGCAGGGCACAGAACAGGACCCAGGCCGAACACTGGCTGGGAGCTAACGTCAGGCAGGTGCAGAGCCCACTGCTGCTGAAGCCAGAATTCAGAGCACAAACAATGGCTCAGGAGGGAGGACAGAACTGTCAAGACCTGGGAGCCAAAGGTCCTTTGGGGGCGCCGTGAAGGCAGAGGGTAATCCCTGGGGTCAGAGTCAGCGCGGTGGACTAGACCTCAGAGCACCAGGGAGTCCAGTGAGGCTACGTCAAAGCCACTCAGAGAGCAAATGCAGCTCCTTGAGTCGGAGAGGTCCGGGGGCTCTGCAGGCTTTACAATTGGGCACCACAGCTCTCAGTGCTACCTGAGGCGGGGGGAAGAACAGGACCACCTTGCCTCAGAGCTCAGCAGAGGTGGATTTTTTTGCCCCCAGAAAAAAGTATGCAGAGATCATCCACCTGGGCGGGGATACGGCTCAGCGGCACAGCGCCTACCTTGCAAGTGTGGGGTCCTAAGTTCAATTCCTAGTGTGTGGGGACCATCCACTTGCCCGGTGTGCACGTCTTGCACAATACCTAAGGCTGTGAGCTGGTGGGGATTTATTCCATCATTAGGTTAAGTGAGAGTTGGCCTTAAGATAGGAAGTATAGTTCTGGGCAAGCTGGGCCAAATTCTGTGAGCTGTTTTTAAACTCAGGGTCTTTACCCTGAGCTAAATCCCCAACCCATTTTTAAAAACCATTTAATTTTCAGACAGGGTCATGCTAAGTTGCTCAGCCTGGGCTTGAGTTTGCCATCCTCTTGCCTCAGCCTCCTGGATTACTGGGATTACAGCCCTGTGCTGTGATGCCTGACTTCATGTGAAGCAGTGTTCCCTCTGATAGCAGAAGTTGGGTCTGAGAAGGGGCTGAGGCACCATCAGGGGCTGGAAAGTGGAGGCACTTTCTAAGATTTCCCGGTGGCCCTAGGAGCTGAGGGCAACTTGCAGCGGAAGCCAGCAAGGAAACAGGGATCTCAGTCCTGCAGCCACAGGCACTAAGCTCTGCCAGCAAGAGGGAGTTGAATGTGGACTGACTGATTCTCCCAAGATAAAAGCCCACCCTGATCAGCATCCTCCCTTTGGCCTTGATGGCTACCCGCTGCCAGGGAACACAAGCGTACATGCCAGATTCAAAACCTGTAGCCTAAGCAATGGGTGTTCTTTTCAGCTTTTAAGTTTGGGGTGATTTTTTATGCAACAATAGAAAACAAATGCAGATCTATGAAGAAATATGCAGTTCAGACTCAGGACTAGACGTGTGTGTTTTCATCTGATTCATACAAGGTGTGATGGAAATATGGTGAATGTTTAAAGTTTTAAAAAATTATTGCAATATGACAAATTGCCATTAATTCCCCTCAAAGTACTTCCCTTTGCTCCAAGCACACTTATTCCATCGCTCATGCCACTTTGGGGAGCAGTGCTAGGTTCCTCTTTTGTGAGTGTCACATTTCGTATAGACACTTGTATAGACACTCATGAAAGAGAACTTCCAGAACTGCTTCAGAAAGTGACATGGATGATGGGATGAGTATGCTCAAAGCAAGAGGGAGGATTTTGAGGAGGATAAATTACAATGTGCCTTTTACTGTAATAAATTTTTATTTAAATATTTTCCATATCTTTCTGTCACACCTCATATATTAGATTTCCATCACTATAGTGACATGCCTGAGATAATTATCTTATAAGAGGGAGGGCTTGTAGGGGGCAGTTAATGACAATGTACCCTTTCCTGTGTAATTTTTTAACAATGTAAGTGTTCATTGTGTATTTTACTTATCCCTTGTATACACTTTGGTTTTCCCCACATTTTCTCCTTTTTTTTCTATTAATTTCTTTATAAATATTTAAAAATTTTGAAATCTGATTACTAAGAGTCAGAAAGAATGGGACGATTTCCAATTCTAATAAAATACAAGGAGAATATAAGGTCTGCACCCTGCACCTGTCAGTATATATGGCTTTGGGAAAATCACTTCCCTCCTTACTTCTAAGTTCCTCATCTATAAAATAGAGGTTATAATGCTTACACACTGTGTTTAAGTCAAATTCAAATCAGTTAATATATTTCAATGTGCTTTATAAGATATAAACCTATAAGCAAACGTGAGCTACTGCTTTATTAAGCCGGCAGGGACAGCCCCAGCTTGAACATCTGGAAACCTGTGGCGAGGAACAGCGCCCCCTGGAGAGGCCTTTGGGCACTGCAGCCAGGGCCAGTTCTCTAGAGTGTGCTTTTATCAGGCAAGGGAGAAGAGTGGCCTGAGAAGCTGGCTGTCCTCATTCTCAGCATCACCAGCAACAGCAGTGAAAACTCTAAATGGAAAAAAGGACCCTGGCCTCCCCCAGGGGCCAGCTCAATTGTTTAGAGAGGAAAGAGCAGGAAGTGAGAGCACAATGCCTCTCGCAAGGAGGGCAGGCAACACGACAGCGGTGCCGGCAGCACCTGTGGAGCCCAGAGCACGCTCAGAGCGCCGCAGTCTCCTAGGAGGCCGCCCTAGATGTTATCTGGGAGACCTGCCGACTTAAGCCGTGCGTGTGAAAGCCTCGCACAGGAAAGAGATGGGTGCGCCCAGGGCTGCAGGCCGGGGGAGGTCCCACTTGGAATTTCAGTCTGTAACAAGAAAACTGAACAGTAGAGGGATGACAAGCACCCCGAGAGGGACTGACGAGAAGACAGATGTGGAAATCAGAGGCGTTCTCCGCACTCAGCAGCCTCCACACAAGCAGAATGTTTACTAAGGATCACATTGCAGTCGCCAGAAGAGAAATACTTTGGAGAAGATTCAGAAGGGGAAAAACCAGCACAAATGCTATATTTACCCAACATGACAACAAAGCAGCTTGTTTCCTGCCTGTCCTACTATTCACTGACAATGAAGACACATTTTTTAAAGAAGAGTAAACCCAGGAAATTTGAGAAAACATGCACACACAAACGAAAGGGGAAATGCAGATAAACTAAAGAAGTCGTTGAAAGCAGAGCATTATGTTACACTCCTGAGATCCACATGCTCTGGAAGGCTGATGCAGGAGGACCTCAAGTGAGAGCCTATCCTGGGCAACTTAGCAATTCAGTGAGACCCTGTCTCAAAGATTTTTAAAAGGCTGGAGATACAGTTGAGTCCAAAGGCCCTGAGAAACATCCCTAGCACTGCAAAATAATAAAATAGTAATAAAAATATTAAAAATTGAAAGCTTCCACAAGTGCATAGCATTTTGTAACCAGTCCAGAGATGGGCAAAACTAAGAGCCAACTGCAGTAGTTAAATCCAAATGCCCCCACACCAGTGAGGAGATGCATTTTTAGAGTCTTAAGTAAACCCAAGAGTTGATGCAAGCTCACCTCTGCATTTATCATTTTCGAGAGCCCAAGAATGTTATCAAGTTCCTCTGAGCATTAGTTGCTCGGGCTATAGACTCAAGGTGAGACATGCACCACGGGCTTTGAAGAGAATTAAATGGAATATTGTGTCTACAATTGCTGGCATGGTATAGTCAGTGCTCAAAAATGGAGCTGAATGTCTAAATTCCGATTATGTTCCCAGCTATAAAGTAAGGGAATCAAATATTCTCAGGATCCTTTCCCTTTTTAAGTTTTGTGACTCTATCCTTGTACAGTTTGGTAGTTCCTTAGAAAGCTAAACAGAAACATTATACAGCAAGCCTACTCATAGGTAGATACCAAAGGAACGGAAACCAAAGAATCACGGATACTTGCACAGCAGTGTCATCACAGCATTATTTACCATACAAAAAGGCAGAAGAAAATAAGCAACTATATACTGATGAAGGGGTCAACAAAATGTGTATGTGTCATACATACAATGAAATATTACTCAGTCATGAAGAATGAAGTTCAGATACACTCTGCAGCACGGATTAACCTTGTAGACACCGTGCTGGATGAAATATGCCAGAGTGTGGTTCCACTTGTATAAAATATCTAGACTAGGCAAATTCCCAGAGACAGAAGGTAGAGATTACCCAGGGCTAAGAGAAGGGAGAAACGTGGGGTTCTTGTTAAGTGACTAGCAAGTTTCTGTTTGGGCCGATGGTGACGTTTTGGAGACAGATAGCAAGGGTGGTTGCATAGCAGTACAGATGTCATTAATACCATGAAATCACACCCTTAAAATGTTTATGTCCTATTTGTGTTACATATAGATATCTTTTCCATAAGAGAACCTCCCTCGGTCTTTCAGACTTTCCCCCAAAGATATGGAGACATCCAGTCCGAATGCTCCTTGTGTTTTCGTGTTTCTTCCTCTGTGTGGGAGGCCTTGAGGGTCAACTTGCCGGGCCTGGGTCACCCGCTCTCCTCCTGGGGGGACCCGGCGCTAACATGTCTGACCCACCTGTGCCGTGCAGGTGCAGCCCCGCCACGCGGGTGCTGAGGGTCCCCTGTGCGGAGCGCGGCAGGGGACAGGCACGGGCTGCGGCCCCAGGGCTCCCTGCGAGCGGGGAGGGCGGGGGGAAACACCAGGACCTACATCCCGCCGCCCTCTCCAGCCAGGGCAGCGCGGTCTTCAAGTCCTTCAGTCCGAAGCACAGGGCTCCGCTAGAGCCGTCCAACTCCTGGGAGGCTCTCGAGACCAGGCCTCCTGACCCAGCCCGAGGCCCCGGCCTCCCTCCAGCTCCCAGGCCCCGGGGAAGGCTCCCACCTGGCCTCTGTCCTGGTGCCATTCCCCACCCTTCCGGGGGACCTCCCCAGGACTGAGTTTGGGGCGGAGCTCCCGGGGCGGCCTTCCCATCCCGTGCAGCCTGTGCTGGGAGCCGTGTCACCCACAGCCAGCACGGGCCGCGGAGCTTCGCCCAGAAAAGCGCACTGGCTGCATAACTGAATGAGCTTGGACGGATGGGAGAAGAGCGGGGCGGCTGACCGCGGCAGGCCTCAATAGGTCGTATATGATAACGAGACGACAGTGGCAGCTCCCGGGAGTCCTTTGCCTCTTCCGGACCCTGAACACACCGGTAAAGACCCATTGTCAATATCAGTGGGATAGTAATTGCTACTGGCAGCCCAGGTTCCCAACAAGGAATGTAGGGAGACTGCTAGTTTTTGAGAAAGGTTAGCGGCCTCCAGGGGTCTTCTTTCAGGCAGAACTGCAGGCACGTCCTTTCCCTGCTACTACCAGAACCTGCTGGCTCTCTGCCTTCCTACTTCTGCTGGTGGTCGCAGCACCTGAGCTACTGCAACTTAAAATTCCTGTCATCTTTGCCTCCACCGGAGCTCCAGAGTTACCCCAGGACCTGTGCTCGGTGGAGGGATCTGTCCACATGGCTCTCCTGTTGCTGCTCTGGCCATTAGGGAGCGCGCTGATTCGGAGCTCTGTGAAGGACTGTTTTCCTCTACAGTGTGAACCTGTGGGGGCTCCGTGGGCACGCGAGCATCACTGAGGACGTAATACAGAATCAAGGCCTCTGCTTCTCTTGCAGGAACAGGAGCACAGCCCCATTCCGGGGGTTCATTTCCGGGGGAGGATGCAGTACCGGTTTCAAATGGCCTCCAACAAGGCAGTGGCCTAGCACTGCTTCCTTTTTGAACTTTATAGCCCAGAACAATTAAGACCATAGGTCTCTGCCACAGGAAACAGGAAGGCCAGGCTTTCTCCTCTGAGCCGCTGGCATTGTTGTGTTGTCTTTCACTACGTAGGAAAGGCCTTAAGGAGAACTGGATTTACAGCTTGGCTGTGGTCAGAAGGAACCTGAACTGGCATTGGTTATACACAGTCAAATCACAGAACGAAGTAAGTTCAACACAACTTCAAAGAGCTGTTTTATGCCATCTTTTTCAACTGTCCAAACAAAATCGTTCTACCATTTAAGTTGATTTTTTACATTATTACCTATGGATAGCATCCAACAGATACTTTCTTTAGAAAACAAACAACACACAGGACATAGAGGCGCTCTCTTGGAGCAGGTGTGGACAGGTGACAGCATCAAGCTCAGTGGCTGGTCAGGCTCAGGCTTTGGCCTAGAGTTTGTGAGTCTCCTCTGCTATCAGCATTGCATCGGGGGAAGAGCAGGGTTTGCCTCAGTGGTCCCTGGGAGCCTCGGTGTTCTCCTGCGGAGAATGGAAATAATAATCACATGAGCTTCACAGCGCACCATGGAGCCCGCGCAGCAGGTGGCACACGGCCTCCCTGCCTGGTCTTCCAGCCCACCTGCAGTGGGCATCCTTATCACGAGGACAAGCCCAGGTCTGGAAATCCCAACGACACATTTACTTTGTTCTCATTGTCGATCTAAAGTGAATAGTTCTCATTGGAACAAACAGTTCAAACAAATCTGTACAGCTTGGAGGGTTGGCTCATTATTTATAGGTATTTCACACATGCCCTGTGATTGTGGAGGCGTGTGGTATTTGGGAGTCAAAGCGTGGAAATTACTACCGGACTTCTCCAGGTTCCCCTTCTCTAATCCCAGGCCCCGGAGGAACTCAGCACTGTGTCCCCGCAGCCTCGCGTTCAGGATTTTGTAGGGATCAGGTTAGTATGTAAGCGCATCTGCTCTTGCTTAGCAGCAATATGACAAGCAGCTATTGGAATGACTCTTCTGAGATATTTTCCATGTTGTCCTTCGCTTGCTTTTTTAGAGGCTTATGAAATCAATTCCTGCTTGAGTTGCCTGCAGATGAGTTTTATCCTTCTGATTGTCGGGAAACAAAAACTGTGCAGTCCAACACCATCAGCTTTTGCTTTGCCTGCCAGAAGACATATAATCAGTTTATTGCCACGTGTCCCGTTCATTTCATTTCAGTGCCTAGAGGCTCCCCCTGCCTGGGGTCCCTCAACAAGGCCTGCAGGACAGTGGCTGTTAATTGCTCGTCTCACACCCTGTTTTCAGCTGGAGTCTTTGTAGAGTAAGAGTGGGAGGCAGCATGACTTTTAAACCTCAAAGGACAGAAACAAATTCACTTAATTCGATGTTATTATCACCAGCAAAAACTATGGGATCTGCACTGTAAGCGAATGTGAACAGATTATTGTAGGGATAGTTAAAATTTCTGTTCAGGAATGAAAATGTTAAAAACTCACCAATCCCATAGGTGTGTGACAGCAAAGGTGTCACACCGTGGAGTCAGCCTGCCTGGCTGTGAATCTTAGTGTCCCTTTGCACGAGGTGTAGAGCCTTGGGCAAGTTATTTACCTTCTCAAAACTCCAGGTTCATTATCTCCAAAGTACAGATAAAAAGCTTTGAAAATCCATGAGACACTTAAGTGCAGTAAACCTCCATAAATACCAGATTTCTCTCTTTCCACTCCTTTTCTCTCATGTGTGCTAACAGTATTCCTGACAGTTATCAAAAGCCCAATATTCGAATACTGAACAGTAGGTTTACGTGCTCTGAGGCACAATGGGTTATGGTCCCAAAATGCTGAAGATTGGAAAATCCTTAATTTTACTGTCTCTAGTGATTGCCTTATTCAAATTCCAGCAATCTAGGTCATGCGACATTCTTTAACAGGCACAAATGGCCGGGTGGAGCAGCTGTGGTCATGGGACCTGGGCTCAAGGCTTGGTGACTCAAGGTGTGGGAGGTGAACCACCACCTCCCTGACTTCCAAAACGGCTGCTGAAGGAATGGTTGGCCTACTCTTTCCCACACGCTCACCCTCCTACAGTGACCAGCAGTCCCACCAAGGCCTGGCAGGAAGACACCAGCTTGAGCTGATGATCCTACCCGGCGCAGCATCTCCACACCCTGGCAGCCAAGGGATGAGGTCACGGGTGGGGAGCCGGCGAGGACGGGGTCACCTGCTATCTTGGAAGTCCAGCCTCAGCCTCAGCCACACGCCACCCTTGGTTTTTGCTCATCCCAGCCCCAGCAGTAAAGCAACAACGGCAACACCTTCTCTGGGCTCAACGTGACCAGCAATCAGATGACACAGAGAAAACAAGCGTGTGACTTGTTCTGTTCCGCACATGGTGCTCAGTGATTTACATGAGACTCTTCTTATTCAATGTGCTGTGTCATGAGCAAGAATGTAGGGAGCACGAGAGCCAGATCTCTGAACATTAAGTTTGATTTATTCTTAGTCTGTATTTTACTTCACCACACCCTTATTTACAGGAGTCACAGTGATACCTGCATCAGATTTTTAAAATATCTGGTCATGTGTATTTTAAAATACTCTAAAAATATTATAAAAACCGTTATAAGAAGGGCTTTCCCACTGAGCAGGTACACTAACCAGTGTGGTACCTACATAATCTGTGACTCTTGAGCTCTGAAAAGATGGCTATAGCTACCGTGACTCCAGATTTCTTACTTTATCTAATGTAATGAATTTACTTTAAAAACTGACGTAGGAGAAGGGAAAGCAGAAAGGATCACGATGCAATTTGTGTATGTACCAGTTCCCCGCAATGATGCATTTGTTATGTATCACAATGCATACATTTCACTCAAACTGTTTCTCATGTAGGGTGTTCCTGTGTTACAGTGTGTACCTGTGTGTCGGGACATGCATTGCTTCTAGTGTTACATGTAAACATGCCACTGATCTAGTCCCTGTTCACATATTGATTCAGCATGTGTGATTCTTTTGCTGTCTAATGATGTCACATTATAATGTGTTTCTTTGAATATTTGAGGCAGACAGTATAAGTTACCCATACAAATCATAACTGGTAATGAGATAAAAATCTCATTTTAATTGCAAAATACCTAAATTATCTTTCTAGTTAAAAATAAGTATAGACCAATTTTTAAATCAGCAATGAAAACGTTTTACCGAGGCCAAATTGTATAGAAGTGCAAATGTTAGTTCTATGACAGGAACCCTCTTATAGTATTGGTGGGATTGTTGTACAACTGGTACAACCACTATAGAAATCAGTATGAAGAGTCCCCAAAAAACTAAAACTAGAAATGCCATTCGACCCAGCTATACCTCTTTTGGTTATCTTCCTGAAAGAACAAAGGCCATATTCCAGTGATATGTGCATACTCAAATTTATAGCAGCACAATTTACAGTAGCTAAATTATGGAAGGAAACTCTATGCCCATTAACAGATAAATAAAGAAAACGTGATCTACTACCTAGCCATAAAGAAAGATAAATATGAGTCATTGGCAGAAAAATAGATGGAGCTTGAGCCCATAATGGTAGAGAAACTTACTTATTTACTTTGGTACCAGTAACCTAACTCAGGACCTTGTGCTTGCCAGGCAGGCGCTGTGCCACTGAACTACATCCTCAGCCCCAACAGACCATAGTAGTAAGTGAAATAAATCAGACATAGAGCGTCAATTGAATCCTTTCTCAATAGGATATGAGAAACCCAAAATATAAGTATTCAAAGAGCAAGATAAAAGACTGATGGGAGGAAACAGTGATGTAGACTTTGTGGAAATGGGAAGGGGATCTGAGGGACTGGAAAGAGGAAGGGCAGGGCGAGGAGAGTAGAAATGATCAAGATGTGACGTGTGTATACTAACTCTCGGGGATGAACGCATTATGTATCACAGATAGGTAGACAGCAATTGGAAGAAGATATGTTGTAAGATCCACAACAAATCGCAGTTGCCCTTCACTGAGATGGAACCCAATGAGAAAGCTGACTACTGTTATGTAATTTGTTTAAAGATAATGAAGTGCGCTGTATTAAGAGATATTGGCAAATTCACAGTGAATTTGATAAATTTTCTCTCAACCTCCCAAAAAGAATGGATGAAAATACTTGAAATTAAAATTGACTATCTAAGAAGAAAAAAATTAAGATTTTTTTTTATTTTAAAAATTGAAGACTTTTACCAGAGTCCCGGTTATCTCTTTAGGGTATTAACTTACTGCGATTCTCACACACATGTATGCTTGCACACATATTCTTAGGTGGAAAGCTAGTAGAAGAAATTATTATTTTCATTACAGAAATTTTGTCATGAATTTATGAGGAAAAGTATAAAAATTATATCTCACAAAAAGTAGCAACTGCAAGTAGTTACCAACACAATAGCTTAAAAAATGCAAGACCTTAACAATAACAAAATCAACTAACTTGAATTTTGAAAAACTGCAAGTTTTCATTTTAAATTTTTAATTTCTTTTTGCTTTAGGAGAGTCAGGAAATATAAAATACACTGCCCAATTAGTAATTTGGGTATGTTTTGTCCCAGAACACTTTTTAATTTACAAAGAAATACTGTTTATTCGTGACCTAAAATGTCAAACTCATGGTATAGGTATTTTGTCAGTCCTTTACGTCTGTCAGAGAGGAATTTTGGATAGGTATTTAAACATTAGTTTCTAACACAATGAACAGTTTTCTAACTATGTTAGGCCAAAAATCCAGATTTATTGGTATTCTTTTTAAAGACTGATGGATGTTTCCTTTATTTCTTTGTTTCACTGTATGATGCAGCTTAAAAATATTTATGTTCAATTTTCTAAAGCCAATTCCATGAGACATGTCCTGGATACTGTTGCTAAGATCACTCAGTGTATACATGCAAATGCAATGCATCGCTGTAAGTTTATGGATCTGTTGAAAGAAATAGAAGACAGTGAATTTAATGGCTTCATGACTTCTTTGCCAAGGTTCTTTGCTTGAATTAGGGAAGAGTTTTACAAAGATTTACTCCACTGCCAACTCCAATTCAAGATTGTTTTGAAAATAAAGAATATTGAGCCGGGTGTGGGGGAGTGCATGTACATAACGCCAGCACTCAGGAAGCTGAGACAGGAGGATCACCTTGACTTCAAGGCCGGCCTGGGATACACAGTGAGTTTAAGTCCTGTCTGAACTGCATTGTGAGACCTTGTCTCAAAAAAAAGAAACAAAGAAAAGAAAGAATATTTGTCAAGTAGTTAAAAATAAAGACAAATCATGCCACTGTGATGAACATTTTCACATCAACATCACACCGTATCTGAACAAGCCAAATTTGAACTTTCAAGGAAAGGAAAAGTTTACCTGTGGTGTAACTACACAGATATGGGATTTTGAATTCTAACCTTCACAATTTAATAATAATGATCTATGCAACTTTCTTCCTTCCTTCCTTTCTTTCCTTCTTTCTTCTTTTTGAGACAGGGTTTCACTATGCAGTTCAGGCTGGCCTTGAGCTCACTTTGTAGCCCAGGCTGGTCTCAAACTCCCAGCCATCCTCCTGCCTCAGCCTCCCAAGTGCTGAGATTACAGGCGTGCACCACCATGCTGGGCACCTATGCAGTTTTCTTACATGAGTTCATGTGCATCCGCTCCTCCCTAGCACTGCCCTCAGCAGCTTGCAGGATGGGTGGGTGGGAGTCTGGGGGTAACAGGGACCCAAGTCAGGTGAGAATGCTTCTGACTGGAGATGAAGTGTCGGTTGGTGCTTGCTGTTGTTTTCCCGCTCTTTGCCCTTCTAATTATAAAAGAAAAAGAAAGGGGAAGGTCACTTTCACAGCCAAAGCAAGGTTTCCTCTGGAAGTCCAGCTGGCCAGTTAGAACACATCGGAGTCTATTCCAAGGAACAAAGAGTGAAATAAAGTATCCTTTCCCTAGGAAGTATATAAGTAAGTCACAGCAGGCCTTTGGCCCCGGGACAGTCAGAAGTTCTGAAGCACAAAAAGGAAGAAATGCTGACTTTCTGGGCCTTTGTGAAGCTGGGACTCTCTGACAGACAGTGGAAACTTCCCCTAAGAAAGCAAAAGGCTGATTTTACAAAATAAGAAAAATAGGATTAGGTGAGTAGAGTTAAAGGACGGACATTAGCAGGAGAAAGTTGCTTCATTTGCCTTGTGTGTCTTCACTTCATTATTTGCTCTACAAAATACAGAAGACTTGTGCGCAGTCAGTGATGGGTCTGACAGAGTCTTTTATTCTTTATTTTGATAGTCGTATTTATAGCAGCATAAATGACCCCACTGCTCCTCTGTCTGGCCGAGCGTGCTTTGGGAGGCACTGGGCTGGAGAGAAGGGGGTGTCTCGGAGAACGGACCCATGTTCCCAGCAGCAGAATGTGGATCGCAGACGCGGGAGGAGAAGCGAGGAAGCAGACTCTCGCCAGCGAGCCGTGCGCCTCAGCCTCGGCCGGGTCTGCGTCACTGCAGCTCTGTGCCTCCGGTCCCTGGCACCGAGCCTGGCACCACGTGGGTGGCCAGCATCATCGGTTGGCCGGAACTGTAAAGTGAAGTCATTTCCACAGGGGGATTTGTTGTCTATGCAGCAGGAGGAATGCAAACTATAGGAGAGCAAATAAATGTAATTATTTGTCACTTTTGCATTTTATTTCTCTTTAGTTTTTAATTTTAAAAAAAAAGTTTTCACCTTGTTTTTAGAAAAAACTGTTGCTCTACAGGACCCAAGACCGATACTTCTCACTACCTGAGTTCTCATCCAGCAAATAGTCTGTCGTGGCTCGAATCCATGCCTCCCCATCACCCTAATTGGAAACCTGCTCTAAATGATCTGCGTGCTGGGGCAGCAGAAACTTATAATTTGAGCACAAGTCTGGGCACGAGAGTGCAAGGCACCCTGAAGCCTCTCTCCACAGTCTCACCTGGGAGATGGCCTCTCTTTGGCTTGTGCTATTTCTGTTTATTGTGTGTTCTCGCCGTCATCATCTTTGTGCTATTGAGCTTTTTTTTCTAAGTCAAAAAGCCTGTGAAAAACAGTATGTGAGCCAGAGAGGCTCGCCAAGGCCCACTTACTAAAAGAAAGCAGAGACTGGAAAAAGTAATGGACAGAGGAGAAAGAAGCAAAAGCGTAAGCGCCTAGGAGGACAGCCCAACTTGTACCTGATACTGGGCAAGGCAGTTACACTCAGCGTTGTCTGCTCTTACCAATGAGCCTGTTAAATGTAACGGGTGTTTCCATTTTTTTATACATTTCAGAAACCTCCATGCATTTATTATATAATGAGAGTGTTTCAGTGATACCTAGGGAAATTGGCTGGGGTTTGAAGAAATGCTTTTTAACTTTCTGGATGAAAATAATGAAATATAGACTCAATCTATCTGAAATTTTGAATTCCAAAATGCTTTCATGAAGAGTTGGCTGTGAGAGGTGCAGGACCCCCGAGGCCACAGGCTCAAAGCTGAATTAGACAGTGTTGAACAAAGGAGTGTTTTTATATTGAAAAATCCCTTTCAGTCACAAAGAACTGAATATTTTTGTCATGGCTTAGGGATCTTTGGCAAGCAAATGATTCTAGATAATGCTCTGTGAGAATTTCAAAATGACCTTCTGCTATTTGAGTTGGAACCCCAAATCAAAATCTTTTAAATGCACATACACACATTTGAAATTGTTTCAGACCTTTTATGCTCTTTGCCCCCCAAAAGAAAGAAAAAACATTGAGTGTGGAAACTGCCTCACCACCGGCCCCTGGGCTGGGTGTTGTACTTAGTGGGTTCATCTCCAGTTGTCTTTGCCTCTCGCTGTCCCAGCAGTAGAGACAGATCTCTCAGGACTCTCTGCTTAAACACTGCATCCTTAATCATAGCAGCATTGAGTTCAGAACACATCAAGTTCATATTTATTTTCACGTCAGACTGAAATGTCTCCCACCACTGATCAAGGCCTGGCCATGGTGCAGGTGTCTTTGGACTGCTTGGTCACTCGTTGTCAACTTGCCCTTCTCTAGAAGTGGCTCTCTGTGGTTTTGTCCAGCTTCCCAGTTTGGCAGATCCTCTATGCTCAGTGAAGGATCCTGCTCAAAGCTACTTTGTGCCCTTCAGTCCTCTTGGAGACACTTGCCATAGGGACATAACCCTGTGGAGCTTCCAGCACAAGATACACATTCAGCAATTTTTGAAAAATGAGTCGACGACACAACAGTGCCGAAAGACTAAGAACTGAAGGAAGTTCAGTCATAGGGTGGACTAAATATCTGAATTTTCCTGCTATAAAACACAACAAAATACAACCCAGGTCCCTTTCAATGCAAAGGTGAGCTCATAAGAAAGTAAGAGAAATACCTAAAGGAACAAAAAATCAGATTCATAGATCTGTGTTCATTGCTATGTAAGCCCAGCCTGCCTAGCTGCCCAGAAGGACTTTTTCAATTGACCAGATAGTTTTGATTTTAGAGATCATAAAGAGCAGAAGTATATCCCCTCAATATAGACCTAGGACCCAGACCTCCAGAAATCTCCATAGATACGTGGACGCACATGGGTTACTTACTTGGTGAAGGAGGATCAGAAGGAACATTCTTGACTTCTAGAGACGTAGAGAGGATGAGTATATTCTTCACTTGTATGCCTTTCTGAATCCTCACCAAAATCAGAGCAAAGACAGTTTCTAATCCACAATCCACAAGAACAAAGAGCGCAACAGAGAATCAACAATGGTAAAATACCGGAAGTTGGAAACATATAGGACGGATAACTGACTTAGAAGATCCTCAGAGGGCTGAGAAAACCCCAACCCTAATCCTGCAGTGGGGCAAGCTGAAAAAACAACCCAATTTTTATAACAAAAATCCTCATGAAGTTGAGAACTGGCAGGAAGAAACTTGAAGGAGTGGGGGTAGAGTTGAAGTTAAATTGAAATGAGTAGTTGAATGTTGATTTGAGAAGCAGTCAGCCCCACATTTCCACCCACAACCTATGTCCTGCCCTGCCCTGCCTGGCCGGGCTGCGCAAGGTAGCCGGAGATCTCCCTGCAGAAGGATGTAAAGCAGGGTCTCTGGAGTGCCACGCTCAACTCCTGTTTGGGGGGCATCATCTCTGAAAGGAGGAGTGCAGGTGGAATGCAGGCCCCCCAGCCCACTTCTCAGCTAGTTCCCAGGATAGCTGCAGTGAGGACAAAGCACCCAAGACAAGAGAAAGAAATCTTTCTGGGGCCTCTGACAAGCACAGAAGAGAAGATCTACAGCTCCTGATGCCAGGATGTCCCCAAAGTCACACCCCAGCCATACTCCAAGGCCTGACTCAGTTCACAGGAGCACCAATAGTTATTAAATATAAGCAGCCCTCAAGAGTCATAGGTATCAAAGCAGGCATCTGTCAAGAAAGATAAAGACCAAAACAAATAAACAAAGGGACAAACAGGGAAATAGAAACCACTCAGAGGAAACGGAGACTGCAGGAAGACCATTTTTTTTAAAGAACTACCATCAGGATCCTTAGAGAGATAAGCAAAGACGTGCCCATAAAACAAAAATAAAATGCCAAAAATAAAGACAAAAAAGAAAAACAAACTTAATGTTCAGAAAACAAGAATCATTCTGAAAACAAAAAACATTCTAGAAGTTAAAAGCACAATAAAAGAGCTCAGAATCACCCCAAAAAAGAGTAAAAACACAAAATAAAACATATTATTGAAAAGAGATAAGAGGGCCAAAGGACTAGTTCAGAAAGCCAGCATAGGGACAACACAATAAGGCAAGACATTTTCTCCCAAGAAAGCAGATAGGGGCTTAGAGACAGACACGGGTTTATCAAGAAGCCAGTGATACGGATAAGGGTATCAGCAATCCCAAGGCTCTCCTGGTTTCTCAAAACACTGAGGAGCACAGAAAAGGTTTCTGAGAGAAGAAAGGGTGTCCGATTCAGAGACCAAGAATTAAGACAGCTTTATACTTCTTCTTTACTGGGTTAATAATATCCCTTAGCTATTGCAGGCTGATCAGGTCTGCAATCTCCTGAACGAGTGTACGGTGAAGGCTCCATAAAAAGAAGAGGCTGGAATGATTTCAGGGCCTCAGGAGGATCAAAGCTCTCTCACAGAATTCGAGATTCTCTCAGAGCTAAGACCAAGACCTTCTCTGGGAGGCCCATATTTATTTGGTTATC